CGGTACGCGGGCCTCTCACTGTTGTGGCCTCTCCCGTTGCGGAGCAACAGGCTCCGGACGCGCAGGCCCAGCGGCCATGGCTCACGGGCCTAGCCGCTCCGCGGCATGTGGGACCCTCCCGGACCGGGGCACGAACCCGTGTCCCCTGCATCGGCAGGCGGACTCTCAACCACTGCGCCACCAGGGAAGCCCAAATTGTTTGAATTTTTTAGTGCAGTTACTCAGGAGAAATATAATTTAGGAAGTGTGAAAAATACTGAAAATATTGTCTATTAGAATACTTCTGTTAATGCTGTATGGGAAAGGTAGAACTAAGATATATAAAGGATTCATTTAGGGGTGTGTGTGTGTGTCGTTTGCTAACTAGAGGACAGGAGTAAATTGGCATCTTGCGAGAGATGGCATCTTTCTAAGTGTTGACATTGGCTGGTGCAGGAAAACAGGAATCAATGGCTAGTCCTCTTAATAGTATTACAAATAACAAATCTCTGTCATGGTTTATACAAGACTGTTAATGCACCGAAACACCTTTACTGAGGACTGTTAATCATTCAAAACAGTAAGAACACTGAGATAACTGTTTCAGTGCCTACAGTATAAGGACTATGTTTCTAAGGTGTTTTCAAATTCTCTACATAAGGTAAGCATTGAATAATTATTTTTTGAAGGTAAGGATGTTTTACTTATGAATACAATTCATAAGTGAAAGTATGTAGATTGGATTCTTTTACTCAGCACGATTTTTAAGGAAAAGGACACAGGAAAGATAGACCCTGGATTGCAGAAATCAGAATGAGTAGGAAAAGATCAGAGCATGGGACACTGTTTGGGAGTGATGTGCTGGTAGATTCAGAAGCAGTGAAGAAAAGAGGAATAAAAAAAGATTCAAAAAACACAAAGGACAAAACAAAAAATAGATAAATTGGACTTCATAAAAAAATCAAAGACTTTTGTGCTACAAATGATAACATCAGGAAAGTGAAAAGACAGTCCACAGAATGGGAGAAAATATTTGCTAACCATACATGTGGTAAAGGACTTGTATCCGGAATATGCAAAGAATGTTTGTGACTCCATAATAAAAAGATAAATAACTTAATATAAAAATGGGCAAAGGATCCGAATAGACATTTCTCCAAAGAAGATATACAAAAGACTAATAAGCACATGCAGAGATGCTCAACATCATTAGTCATTAAGTAAATACAAACTAAAAGCACAGTGAGATACCTTGAGATACCCACAAGGATGGCTATAATCGAAACTCTAATTCAAAAAGATATATGCACCCCAATGTTCATAGCAGTACTATTTACAATAGACAAGACATGGAAACAACCCAAGTGTCCCTCAAGAGATGGTTGGTTTAAGAAGATGTGGTATATATATGTACTATGGAATATTAACTCAGCCATAAAAAAGAATGAAATATTGCCATTTGCAGCAACATGGATGGACCTAGAGAATATCATACTAAGTGAAGTAACTCAGATAGAGAAAGACAAATATATATGTTATCACTTACATGTGGAATCTAAAAAAAAATACAAATAAATCTATATACAAAACAGAAACACGACTCACAGACATAGAAAATATATATAACTGAAAAAATATATATATAACTGAATCAATTTACTGTACACCTGAAACTAATACAATATTGTAAATCAACTATATTTCAATTAAAAAAAGATTGTAAGAAATGCTGAAAAGGATGTGGAGAAATTAGAACTCTCATACATTATTGAGATGGCCAGAAAGCACATGAAAAGATGCTCAACATCACTAATTACTAGAGAAATGCAAATCAGAACTACAATGAGGTATCACCTCACACTGGTCAGAATGGCCATCATCAAAAAAATCTACAAACAATAAATTCTGGAGAGGGTGTAGAGAAAAAGGAACCCTCCTACACTGTTGGTGGGAATGTAATTGGTACAGCCACTATGCAGAACAGTACGGAGGTTCCTTAAAAAACTAAAAATAGAACTGCCCTATGACCCACCAATCCCACTCCTGGGCATATATCCAGAGAAAACCATAATTTGAAAAGATACATGCACCCCAATGTTCATTGATGCACTATTTACAATAGCCAGGACATGGAAGCAACCTAAGTGTCCATTGACAGATGAATGGATAAAGAAGATGTGGCACATACATACAATGGAATATTACTCAGCCATAAAAAAGAACAAAATAATGCCATTTGCAGCAACATGGATGGACCTAGAGATTGTCATGCTGAGTGAAGTAAGTCAGACACAGAAAGACAAATATCATAGGATATCGCTTATATGTGGAATCTAAAAAAAAAAAGGGCACAAATGAATTTATTTACAAAGCAGAAGTAGAGTCACAGATGTAGAAAACAAACTTATGGTTACCAGGGGATAAGGTGGGAAGAGATAAATTGGGAGATTGGGATTGACATATACACACTACTATATATAAAATAGGTAACTGATAAGAACCTGCTGTATAGCACTGGGAACTCAATACTCTGTAATGGCCTATATGGGAAAAGAACCTAAAAAAAAAAAAGAGTGGATATATGTATATGTATAACTGATTCACTTTGCTGTACACCTGAAACTAACACAGCATTGTAAATCAACTGTACTCCAAAAAAAAAACAAGAACTCTCATACATTGCTGGGTAAGAATGTAAAATGGTGCAGCCACTTGGGAATACAGTTTGGCAGTTTTTCAAAATGTTAAACATTGACTCAGCAATTCTACCCCTAGGTGAAATTTCCAAGAGAAATAAAAACATACCTACACATGGGCTTCCCTGGTGGAGCAGTGGTTGAGAGTCCGCCTGCCGATGCAGGGGACACGGGTTCGTGCCCCGGTCCGGGAAGATCCCACATGCCGCAGAGCAGCTGGGCCCGTGAGCCATGGCCGCTGAGCCTGCGCGTCCGGAGCCTGTGCTCCGCGACGGGAGAGGCCACAGCAGTGAGAAAGGCCCGCGTACCGCAAAAAAAAACCAAAACAAACAAAAACACACATAAAAACATGTACAGAAATGTTTATAGCCACGTTATTCATAAAAGCCAAAAAGTAGAAATATAGCTCAAATGTCCATCAACAAATGAATGGATGAATAAAATGTGGCATATCCACACCATGGTATATTATTTGGCAATATATCAGTGCATGCTATAATAGAGATGAACCTTGAAAACATTATGCTAAGTAAAAGAAGCCAGTCACAAAAGACCACAAATTGAATGATTCCATTCATATGAGATTTCCAGAATAGGCAAATCTCTAGATATTAGTGGTTGCCTAGGGCTAGGGGTGGGTGAGAGGAGAATGGGGAGTGACTCCTAATGAGTAGAGTTTTTAGGGGCGGGGGTGACAAAAGTAATCTAAAAATTAGATTATGGTGATGGTTGCACTATTCTATAAATATACTAAAACCCCACTGGGTTGTACACTTTAAATGGGTGAATTGTATATATGTAAATTGTATCTCAATAAAAGTGGTAATGGAAAAAAAGATTCAAGGCAGATTTTGATTAAGGTTGACCATGATTGTAGAAACCAAGGAATCAGGCAAGCAAGACGATTTGGATTGTTGGAATAGTTAAAAAAGGAGAAAAACCATTTAGACTTGAGAATTAAGACTTCACCAGAAAGTGATCAAAGGACTTGTTCAAGTTCCCTTCTGTCTTTAGAAAGTATTGCTAAGGAAAATTATTTGGTCTTACCCTGCAAGTATCAAAAACTCCATCTTCATCACCTGCACAAAATGAAGTGTAAGGAATTATATCCCCATAACTCTTGTCAGAATTACAAAAACTTCGAGAAATATAATGCACTTCTGCTTCGTGTAATTTTTTTGTAATATTACCTATTAACAAAAAAATGCCAATAAATTATTTTGGAGAGCAGACATTTTGACAGCAATATAAAGTGTTCCTGATGAACAAGTTTTCTTTCCATAGTACCTGATTGAACAGTTATGTAAAATTGTATCCATGTATGTATGTATGTTTGTATGCCTAGAAAGACGGTGAAAGAAAGTTCACCAAATCTTAATGACAGTTATCTCTAGATAGTAGGAATTTCAGGTTACTTTTGTTACCTTTGCTGTCTTGTATTTCTTGGAGGTCTCACGGCAGGATCTATAGCTTTTTTTTTTTTTAAAAAAGGGTATTTATTTATTTATATTTTATTTTTGGCTGCATTGGGTCTTTGTTCCTGTACATGGGCTTTCTCTACTTGCAGCGAGTGGAGCTGCTCTTCATTGTGGCGTGCAGGCTTCTCATTGTGGTGGCTTCTCTTGTTGCAGAGCACGGTCCTAGGTGCGTGGGCTTCAGTAGTTGTGGCACGCGGGCTCAGTAGTTGTGGTTCGCAGACTCTAGAGTGCAGGTTCAGTAGTTGTGGCGAACAGGCTTAGTTGCTCCGTGGCATGTGGGATCTTCCTGGACCAGGGTTCGAACCCATGTCCCCTGCATTGGCAGGTGGATTCTTAACCACTGTGCCACCAGGATTTATAGCTTTTACAAAGTAAAACTATATAAAAATTGTCAAGGGCGAAAGAGGTAAATGCTGAGGTCTATCTTTCTTATGTTGTAAGCTGTGAATAATTTTAATTAAATTTTTAATGATGCTAAAGTCTTGAAGGATGTTGAATATGAAAATAAAACAGATTTTTAACTCATGCACTCCCCTAAATTCCCTGCTAATTCCTGAACATAAAGTGGTTCTTTGCTACAGAAAAGATAGGAAAATATAAGATAACACTTCAGGTACTATTAAAGGACAGATCATTTTAAGGTTTATCCATAGGAAAGCTACTGTAACAGCAGCATCTCTTCTCATCAGCCTGTCTCAGAGTTACAGTTGTCACATGTGGTAGCTGAATATTTTGTGTGCCCCACATTCTTCCCTAGCTTTTCAAGTAATAGACATTTTACCCTTAGCTGCAAGTGGGTAAATGACCCAACTGTTCCATTCACAGAATTCCATTCTCCTGGTTGCGCTGATTGGTCTAGAGGTGACTATATTTGGTATAAAGCTAGCCAGTTGGAATACTTATCCAGCATTTTAATTTTATTTTAGCAATATAGAAATACCTTTAATATCTTAAGTGAAAAATAAGTACATGAAATAGAATGCAGGCTATTATGACAGCTATATACAATTATGTAGAGAAGACCGAAGGGAAACATATAAAATTGTTTGTAACTTATTTAATGATAGTGGGATTATATATTTCCCCATCTATTTTTCAAATATTCTGCACTATTTTTATAATGTTTTAATAATAAAAATGTTAAATCAAAGATTATTAATAATATTCTTCACTTATTTCCAGTATGGCTGTAATGTGTTGGCTGTAAATATGAAACTTTCTTCCACACACCAATATTTTCAAGAATGGCATATTCTCAGGCAGTATGTTTATCCAGCATTTTTTTTTTTTTTTTTTTTTCGGTACGCGGGCCTCTCACTGCCGTGGCCTCTCCCGTTGCGGAGCACAGGCTCCGGACGCGCAGGCTCAGCGGCCATGGCTCCACGGGCCCAGCCGCTTCGTGGCATGTGGGATCTTCCTGAACCGGGGCACGAACTCGTGTCCCCTGCATCGGCAGGCGGACTCTCAACCACTGCGCCACCAGGGAAGCCCTCTGCGCTTTATTTTAAAATAATTGAAGTAGTACTAGCTGTATATAAAAATATATATAACATATAAGTTATAGAATACAGTAATGAAATGAACACCTGTAAATCTACCACCCAATTTATGAACAATACTAATCCAGTGTGGTATTGGTATAGGGCTATTCAAAATAACCAGAGATTTTCAAAGTGAATAGGAGAGAGAACCCGGAAGTAGATGTCTGAGTTTTCTATTTTGTTCCACTGGTCACTTAGAATATTCTTGCACAAATACAACACTGATCCATTACCATAGCTTTAGAATAAACCTTGATTTCTGGATGGCAACTTCTCCACCATTTTTTTCTCCCATAGGAGTGTCTTGGCTATTCTTAGGTCTTTTAGAATATGAGCTTTTTCATTGTCTTAAAACTCATGTTAGGGTTTATCGTAACCTGGTGCTTTTCAGTTTTTCAGATAGAATTGACATCTTTCTTTTTTTTTTTTTTAAATAAATAAATAAATTTATTTTAAAAAAACCCCAACAAAGTAGGAATGCACACCTGCATGGAAGTCCCTGATATCACATGAAATAGTAAGTTTCAGAACAGTCTGTGTGATTCTGTTTATGGAAATGATGATAATATATGATCATTTTTATAAAGGAAAAATCTGGAAGACACATCCAACTTGATTTATCTCTGGAGGAACTTTTTTTTTTATTATTGTTTTTTTTGTTTGTTTGTTTGTACTGCAGGTTCTTATCAGTCATCAGTTTTATACACATCAGTGTATACATGTCAATCCCAATCGCCCAATTCAGTACACCACCATCCCCACCCCACCGCGGTTTTCCCCTCTTGGTGTCCATACGTTTGTTCTCTACATCTGTGTCTCAGCTTCTGCCCTTCAGACCAGTTCATCTGTACCATTTTTCTAGGTTCCACGTACATGCGTTAATATACAATATTTGTTTTTCTCTTTCTGACTTACTTCACTCTGTATGACAGTCTCTAAATCCATCCACGCCTCAACAAATGACTCAATTTCGTTCCTTTTTATGGCTGAGTAATATTCCATTGTATATGTGTTCCACAACTTCTTTATCCATTCGTCTGTTGATGGGCATTTAGCTTGCTTCCATGACCTGGCTATTGTAAACAGTGCTGCAATGAACATTGGGGTGCATGTGTCTTTCTGAATTACGGTTTTCTCTGGGTATATGCCCAGTAGTGGGATTGCTAGATTATATGGTAATTCTATTTTTAGTTTTTTATTGTTATTCATAGTGGCTGTATCAATTTACATTCCCACCAACAGTGCAAGAGCGTTCCCTTTTCTCCACATCCTCTCCAGCATTTGTTGTTTGTAGATTTTCTGGTGATGCCCATTCTAACTGGTGTGAGGTGATACCTCATTGTAGTTTTGATTTGCATTTCTCTAATAATTAGTGATGTTGAGCATCTTTTCATGTGCTTCTTGGCCATCTGTATGTCTTCTTTGGAGAAATGTCTATTCAGGTCTTCTGCCCATTTTTGGATTGGGTTGTTTGTTCCTTTAATATTGAGCTGCATGGGCTGTTTATATATTTTGGAGATTAATCCTTTCTCTGTTGATTCATTTGCAAATATTTTCTCCCATTCTGAGGGTTGTCTTTTCATCTTGTTTATGGTTTCCTTTGCTGTGCAAAAGCTTTGAAGTTTTATTAGGTCCCATTTGTTTATTTTTGTTTTTATTTCCATTACTCTAGGAGGTGGATCAAAAAAGATCTTGCTGTGATTTATGTCAAAGAGTGTTCTTCTCATGTTTTCCTCTAAGAGTTTTATAGTGTCCAGTCTTACATTTAGGTCTCCAATCCATTTTGAGTTTATTTTTGTGTATGGTGTTAGGGAGTATAGATTGACATCTTTCTGGTAACTGAGTCCTCCTATTGAGGCATAAACTATACCATTTCGTTTACTTAGATATTCTTTAATGTCTTTTTTAAATGTTTCAGGATTTTTTTCTATCTTTTGTTAGATTTGTTTTTAGCTACCTAATCATTTTGGTATTATCGTATTTGTTGACTTCCATTAACTTTTGTTACCAAGAATTGTCAAATACCCTTTATTCAGATTCACCAATTGTTTACTTTTTGTTACACTGCACTATCATTTGTATGTGTATGTGTATAAATTTTTCTGAATCATTTAAGAGTGAATGGCTGACATTGTGCCCCTAAACCCTTAAATACTTCAGTGTGTACTGCTTAAGAACAAGGACATTCTTTTATATAACAACAGTACATTTATCAAGATCAGGAAATTTAACACTGGTCCAATACTATTATCCAATTTAATCTCCATGTATTTTAAAATTTTCCAGCTATCTTTCTGTTATTGATTTACAGTTTAACTTCATTGTTTATAGTTTATTTCTAACCATTGCTTTACTTTCTGTCTCTATGATTTGCCTATTCTGGACATGGTATCATATAAATGGAATTATACAATATGTGGGCTTTTGTGTCTGGCTTATTTCACTTAGCATAAGATTGTAGCAGGTATCAGTACTTCATTCCTTTTTATGGCTGGATGATATTTCATTGTATGAATATATCGCATTTTGTTTACCCATTCATCAGTTGATGGACATTTAGATGGTATTCTTTTTTTTGCTATTATGAATAATGCCACTGTGAACATTCAAATACAGGTTTTTGTGTGGACATATGTTTTCATTTCTCTTGGTATCTACCTAGGAGTGGAATTGCTGAGTCATAAGGTAATTTATATGTTTAAACTTTTGAAAAACTGCCAAAATGTATTCCAAAGCAGCTGCACCATTTTATATTCCTACTAGCAATGTATGAGAGTTCTAATTTCTTCACATCCTCATCAACACTTGTCTAACTTTTTGATAAGTCATCCTTGTGGGTGTGACATCTGTTACTTTTAAAATTACATTTTCTAACTACTGATAGTGTATAGAAATGAAATAGATTTTGGTATATTGCTTTTATATCTGGCCACTTTACTAGACTCTCTTAATTCCAGTGGATTATAAATTCTTTTTTAATATAATGACATCATCTGTGAATAATGAATGTTTTGTTATTACCTTTCTAAGTCATATGTCTTCTGCATCTTTTTCTCGTGTTTCTGTACCTGGTAGAAGCTCTGCTAAATATGGAATAAAAGTGGTGATAGTGGGGGAAGTCACTGCTGATTTTAAAGGAAATGTTTTTCTGTAGTAATGATGTTTGCTGTA